TTGGTGCGTTCAACGCAATTTTGTTATCATTGTTATTGGTTGGTTTTTATTTTATGATTTATTTATTTCTGGTGTGAAATTCGTATCAAAATATTAAAATATTGTACTAATGTCATTCGCCACTATGCCTGATGATTTAATTAATGTAATGTTGAATGATGGAATAGTAAACTACTCGTACGAAAAAAAATATGAAATAAAAAATAAAAGACCATGTTCTAGAGAATATATATTGAACTCATAAATAACATTTGTTATGTGTAATAAACATGAATTACATTTTTGTTCTTATACACATTATATTAGTAGGTATTACTATAATTTTCCTGAGAATATTCAAAATTATCGTTGATAATTATTAGGTAATCCAAGTAATTTATAAATAACTTTATTATAAACAAATACCCGAAACTCGGTCGTTCAAGGTGGCACTTTTGCCATTCCGACATTGGGTACGGTCTTCTGTATGCCACGCACAGTGGGAGGAATTGCATTTCTAGCTGGCCAAAAATAGAAAATTTAGGTATGGTGATTAACGATTACAACCAGGAATATTTGTTGCCACTGATATGACGATGGTAAATATATCACATTATGTAATAATTGTTGATTAATGAACTGATAGGAGTAGGTAAAATACTGAAAGATTATTGAATTTAGCGTATCATATGGTAATCGCTTGTTATTCGCAGTTTTCATTTTAGTTTGTCCATTGTCGTTATTTTATAAGTAAAAATCTAATTGTTTTTTTGCTAAATCAAAAATAGATTAACCAATAGAAATAATTAAGTTACATTTGTTCTAAGTACTATTTATTAATTAAAATGTCGTAATAAAAATTCATAGATATCATGAATTTAAAGAAATTCAAATTTATTTAATTTTCATTTTATAGACAATTTTTTTAGAGGCTCTTAGAGGTGTGAAATTTTTTTTAGTTTAAGCTTATATATATACACTTTGAAATATGACATTTATAAGTTGCCCCAATTTGCCCCTTATTGAAATAAATATATTTTTTTAGATGAAAGAAGCAACGTAAAAAATCGCTGTTTATTCGAAGTTTTGAAAAATAATGTTTTTGCATCAAGTACTTATGAATCACGAAACGCAATAAGTACTTATAAAACTCATTGGCTGGGAGAAAAGTGGGAGTTTAGAAGGCAATGAGAAATTTGATTAATGTATTAAAAAAAGTTGAAGAATTTAGTAGTAAGTTAAATAAGAAATAGTTAGACTCAAATCACTTTTTGACTAAATTTTTTTAAAAAAAAATGATGTGATTGGATTTAGAATTTAAAATTCTTTTATTGAAAAAATGTTAAGAATCGTATGAACCTTTTACAAGTTCTGATAGGACACGTTAATCTTTTTTAAAGTCAAGTGATCGTTCTAAGCGCAGACAAATAAAAAAACTTGAGAGAAATAACTTTATCATATAAATGAATCTGTGCAGTAAAATTGACATTGTATGTTGAAGAAAAACGTGCTGCATTCAATCTTGTTTCCCACGCAACCGAGTATTCTTATCAACGTGTGATAAAGATGAGAAAATTTTATAAAAATGAAGCGAAAAATAAATATAGTTCTTAAACAGATGATAAGGATGTAGTATTTATCATTAATACTCGCATGACTAAAAATTCGTATCACAAAACTAGATTAGGTACTAAAAAACATGAGGCTGATATATATCCTTCGTATGATAGAGTTCAGTTAGTTAAAGATAGATGATAACCTGAAAATATTATTATAAGCGAAATAATTCCACTTTAGAGGCAAGGGAAAGTCAAAGGAAGATGCCCAAGAGGCAAGTAATAAAAACTATAATCGATTCAGAGTACATCATTCTCTAAAATCATAACGTATTTATACAAACACATATCTTTTTAATTTCTTATTAGTGTCATCTGATCTATTAATTACAAGTTTAAGAACACAACTGAACAAATCAAAAACTAAATTACCTCCAGAAGCCATTAATTTACTTGATATCGAAAGCTCAGAACAGAAAGAAATAGAAACTTGTAACAGTGAAATAAGTAGTAGTTATTCTGAATTTTTTATTTTTATTAATTTTTTTGTTATCCGATTAAGTATCAGATAAATTAAATAGTTGAAAATAATGCATTTTTTTTTTAAATTTCTTACATAAATGTTTATTGTTAAAAAATAAAATTATTTTGTTTGTAATATTATCCAACTTCATAATTTCAATGTTTACTTGCCTCAACTGTATTTTCTAAACAGTTATCTATCTCGAGATAAGTATTGAAGTAAGTTATTAAAATTAAAGTAAGAAAATGTTTGTGCATATTAAATCAATAAAAAAAATATTTATTTGTGAGTGTCGAACTTTGTTTGATAGGTGCTAAATTTTTGGCCAGCTAGAAATGCAATTCCTCCCACTGTGCGCCGGTCACCGATATCGTCTTGGTCGCCGATCGCGTCCATTTCGTCAGCAGCCTCTCCTTGACCATCTTTTTGGACCTCGAGCACCGTTTCCACGTCGTTTCGACGCGCCATGCCAAACCCGAAATCGTTGTCGGCCGCCAACGACTGCAATATCTGTGACAGATCAACATCGGCGGGAAATGTTGGCGACGATGCGTCCATCTTTTGCTGCACGATGTCATCTGAGATACAACGGTACCGAACTGGCGCCCAACCGTCTCGATATGATTTAGTTATTAAAATTCAAGACTGCGGCGCTCCTGCGTGCTTTGAATTTTTTAATGTTCAACACAATCTCGGACGGATCTCGACGACTCCGGTTGTTACGATAACAATACGGATTGTTGCGGTTCACGATTTTTATGATTTTTATTGGTTAGCAGCATAAATTAGTATATATATACGCAGATCAAACATATACACTACAAACGCGTGTACAAAAATAATTATTGAATTAATATTTAATAAAAAAAAAATAAAAAAAATGTTTGCATAGAGTTCAGATGAGGCAGTCCTCGACCTGCCCTATGAACGACAAGCAGTAGCGTTTTTACTGGAGGGAGTGGTGATAGGTGGACCCCCCCTTGACCCGTGTAAAAACTAAAAATATGAATGAGAAAATTGTTTATTAAAAATCGTTTTGGCGATAATTTTATGTCAATACTGTTTACTTTTTACAAAAATGTTTGCTTCTATAGAAGTTTGACTGTTAATCGAGTTTGAATAAAAAATAATTTTTGTTTTAATTTTTTTATTGATACCTATATTATTATATTATGCCATTGTGGTATAAAGTTTATGGAAATTAAAATTACTTCTCGTGTATCAAGCATTAGAAAAAAATAAATGGGATATGTATGCAAATTTTAAGTAAATGCAAAATATTTTTGCCTCCTCTCCTTGTAGCTTCACAAAACCGCCACTGTCAACAAGGGCATCGAGGTGATAACCAGGGACGCAATTTCAATGAAAAAACTGAAAATGCTGAAGTCCTTCTATCTTTTTCATGTTCTTTAATGATTATAGACACCCGCAAACCATACAATTCAACAGTTACTAAAATATTTGGTAAATATATGAATATTTCTAAATTTAAATTGTTCGCTTTGATTTTATATTTTTATTACGCGTATTACCTGTCTGTAAACACAAATGTTTTATCACATGATTACTTTTATACTTTTAAATTTTGACTGAAGTGAAGGATATTATGGTTTTATAATGATGTTTATATTTTATTTGTTAAACACTTTTTCGGATACAAATACTCGTCCAAAAGTTTTTTCTTGGACCTTTTTTAGATTTTAAATTGGCATGCGGTGGTACTTTAGATAGGTCATTTTTTTAAATCTTAATAGTTTTTCTAGATGTGAGAAAAAAACTATCCTAAAATGGTAAAAATATGCAGTTAATATGACTTTTATATTTCAAATTTTAGTTATTTAGTCATAATCCCAAAAGTAATGTAGCTAGAAACTTTTACCCTACAGCAAAAAAACTCAAAAACTATTACGTTATTCTATACATAATGAGGTATGAGTATTTAAATGTAAATTAACATAAACACATTTGGGGGTGCTAAGCACACCCAAGTCCCCCAAATTGCGCCTATGGTGATAACAGCTGTCTGGCGCAGGGCCGCTATGGGCAGTGTGAGTGTGTACCGGACTGTCTCACTATCTCCTACTGAACAATCCGTCGAACTGGACAGTCGTCATCAGCTTCACGACAAACGCAGTAGCGCAACTAATAGGTGGTTGGCGGGTTATGACCCCCCCCCAAATTTTTCTGAGGTTTTTACAAATTCTACGTAGGAAATAAAATGATTTATCTTGAAGGCACAAAACGGCTGATTGATATGAAATATGAATATTATTTGTATTATAATTGATAATAATAACACGACAATATGGAATGTTTTGTAACGTTCCGTTCAACTTTAAATCATCAATAACATTGCTACTATGATTTTTCTATAATCAATTGTTTAATACTTTTTTGTGGTATCACAATATGAAATAGAAGTTAAACAGTTTAATTTTTAATTTTAATATTTTACTCATAAACCTAACTTACACTTACTTCCTTATCGCTACCAAACACCTACAGAAAATCCTTATTTTTTTCTAAATTCACAACCCCCCCCCACAATACCAGTCCTAGTTGCGCCCCTGGATAGACGTGTTAGTCACCAAAAGGAACATGGAACGTGAGAGACAAGCTCTGTGAGGGACAGCTCTAGAAAAAGGAAGCGAGAAAAAGAGTGTGCCACTAAGACCGGGAATATTTTATTAAAACTATATAACTTGATTTTTTATTTTAAATACTAGACATTATTATTATTATTTATATTTTACTAACATAATACACAGATAAAATATTTTGTATAAAAAATGAAAAAGTAAAGAAAACAATATAACATATATAACAATAATACATAATACAATGCATTATCAACCCTGTATAGTTAAATATATATTATATATTTTAAACAATGGCAACAAGAATAATAAAATAAATATTTTATAAGTATATAAAATTATAGTTTAAATATATATATATATAACCGACATAAGCAATAAAATGCATGAATATAAAAATAATTATTTAATTTTTAGGAAGTGTCAGTTGTAACACGAGGTAATACATGTGTTTGGACACCTTTACTAGCATTGTATACTTGACCAGATGAAAATGGTACCATTTTAGATTCTGTAAAATAAATGAATTTTATAAGGCACAGTAAAAATATTATGATAACAATTTTGTTTTATTGTTTTATCGTATAGACATTGATATATTATTGTAGATCCAAAGCAATAAATTTAATTAAAATTAATAACAATTACTATTATATTACCAGTATTGTGACGAGAATTGGATGGATAGTAACGAAAAATATTTAATGTTGGTATAGGTAAATATCCACTCATCAGTGGCATGACTTCAACAGAAATACTCTGTGTCACTGAATTTGGAGCAAATGTAATGACATCTAAAAAAAAACAATAAATACATAATAAGAATGTTTCAGTTTAACATTGTTTATAAATTTGTTAATATAAAATACAGAAAAACCTCGATAACACTATTCTTGTCCAGGTATTATATGGTTTACAGGTGTTACGTAAATAAATTTTTGAACCAAAAATTAAAGAAGAAATTTTTTTCATGCTCAACCTGATTGAAACATATACAGATACTTCCTCATCATATAATAAAAAACAAAAATATTTGTAATTTTTTCCAAAAATAGTGCTACTTTATTTACTGTTTTCTTTATTATTTACATATTTATTTTACTATAGAATACTTTTTTGAAAATTGTAATACATACATACATGTATTATACATAGTATAAATAAATAAATAAAATTATAAAATATTTTTAATAACTCAAATTTTTTTTTGTCCCCCACCGATTTGAGTTATTGAAGCTTTTTGTAAGTTAAATTTTCGATAGCTCAAATTTATTTTTGCTTTGGACCGATATTAGTTATCGAAGTTCCTCAATATAACTATTATTTTAATTGTTTAAAAATAAATAATATTATACCAGATCCACGACCACAAACTGCCCACATAGTTTTGTCTACAACAATTTCGTATTTGAATGATATTTCATTTGGGGCACTATTTGGTAGTTCAGTTCTTTTAAAATTTGCTGTATATAAACACACTGTATTCATACGACAGAATTCTCCACTTTTACCAGCCATTTCAACTCCACTATCAATTAACATTAAAGTCTATCCAACACACAAAAAAATTATATACACATTTAAAACAAAATTTAAATAATAATTGATATTTACTTTATAATCATTGACTGTAAATTCCAAGTTTAAATCATGAAAACATTCTGGTTTTTTAGGTGATGAATACTTTGTATGAAAATTAAATACTAATGATTCGGCTAAATTTCCTATTGTATCTGTTGACGACAAATCAATTTCCCACAAGTATCCAATAACTTCACCATTTCTTAAGTGCTAAAAAATAAGTTTTTGAGATTAATTAATAAAAATATAATTTATTTAGAATTCACAAAACTAATATAATTTCAAAAGGTTAAGTAATTAAGTAATTTAAAAGTTGGTTTAATTAAAATCAATTAATTTAAAAAAAATACTACAGATATATTACATAGTTTAAGAAAAATGTGCAATTATGAAGAGGTAAATACCTCCGAAAAGGAACAATTCTTCAAGTCCGCAGCATGCAATCTTCTGCCTAAATTTAAACTCCTAATGTTTAACCCAACGATAAAAGAAAATAATTCACTAACTTTGTGAATATTTTTTAATACTTACAGTTATGGAATCCAATGTTGAATTCAACGAAGTTAATTTGACAATAGAATTAATAGGCAATTGACTAATACCAATTATCTCTGGTTTGCACAAAGCTAATGACCAATCAGTATGGCAAGCAATGTTTACACCAACAAATTTACGATAACGACAAGTATGTAACCGATGAGTAATAGTTAATGGAAGACTAAAGTCTATAGAAATACAAATTATATCTTCATCATCTGATGACGTTTCACATTTTATCCATAACTAAAAATATATATATATATAGTTAATATCAATCAGCACTAAAATATTATCTTACAAACAGAAAAGTTACCTTATGATGAGCTGTTCTGGGATGATCTTTTAAAGATGGTAACTGAGCGAATAATTTAATTGGTAAAGTTAGTGAATTACTAGAGTTTATTGAGATTGGAGATTTTACATACATTTCAGAACTATATTCTGTTTCATCTTCCAAACAAAATGTCAACCCTGGAGTGGAATGTAATCTGATTTTTTCAACAATCTAAAAAATAAACAAGCACATTATTTTAAGAGCATGATAAAAGAAAAATTATGTAGTACTTTTTTTGATTTGGTTCCAAACTGAAGAGATAATGTTGCAATTTCTTCAATACCAGCAAATAAACATTTATCATGTATATCAAGATGAGCAGTTGAGTTAACATTTTTTAATGCAAACATAAGACCAAAAGGTATGTTAGTCAATAGCTCTAAACGAGGCTCTAACTTCACAGACAATTTATCCAAAAAATAAATTCCTGATTCTATGTTCTTTGAGTTCTAAAAATATTATTGATATTCAAAAATTAAAAATAATTTTCATAAGAAGAATATAATTCAAAAATTATGAATGATTTGAATATTATATTTTATTTTATTACCATACAACTACTATTTTGTTTTTAGATCAGAATATTAGTTAATATTGTAGTTTGATAAAAATAAATACATCTGTCAGTATTAATATAATTATCAATGTCAATAACGAACGTTAATATTTACATTTAGTGTTAGATCAATAATATTCATTCCAGGAACAACCGCTACATTACTTGCAGAAATAATATCATGAAAATTATTTTTGTTATAATTCGTTAATGGTTTTCTCCTTTGACTATCTTGGCGTCTATTTATAATTTAAATAAATACAAAAGAACCATAAAATAATAACAACCAAATATACCATTGTTTACCTCAAGTATGATTTTTGATTTAAACAAGTGATACCAGTAGAGGCAAAGTGGCCATCTTGTTGATAAATATGATTGTAAGCCATAGGCAAAATATTGCCTTTCTTTATATCATAGCTATATGAACTTCTCACATGGTTAAATTTGTTTTTCATTTTTTTCATAGCTGAGCCAACAACCACAGAAATGGCAATTTTTGGACATATAATAGTTTTAGGGAGATTGCAATTAAACTTCAATGTCACGATTGATGGATAATTATCTTTTTCGTTATTGCTTTTTACATCTATTTGATCTAATACTATTACATTGTCTATTGGATATATATATTCTAAAAACATAAAAATAAAATATTGAAATAAAAAATTAATTTTGTAACTGTGTTACAAATAATGCAAATATTTAAATGTATATCTTTAGGTAGCCTGTATGATATTTTAATTTAAAAAAGTGATCACAAATAACCATAAAAACTAAATGAGAAAAAAAAAAACAAAAAAAGGTTTTATTAGAAATTGTGTTAATCTATATTCTCAAATAATTTATAAATAATAAATATTTCTGACACAATTGTAAGGCAATTTCCCTCCATGTTTGTGAAAATTTCTTTTGTAAGCCTTTTTAATATTTCATCATTTACATTTTATATTATTTAAAAAGTTTTTAAAAACAAAAATTTAAAAGATTTTTTTATATTTATAATTAAATCAAATATTCTTTAATAACATTGAAATTCACTCATGTTTTATCTTATAATTTTTATTTTCCTACTAGTGATTTGAAACAGCTAAGCCATAATTAAAAATTACACGACATAGTGTTTTAGGGATATCCAATTACCACAAAAACGTGTTAGACAACTGACTATTATAAGATACTTTACAATGAATATTGCCTTTTCCCCTCACATTGTATAGAAACTTTTCAATCTCCTGTTAAGAGATGATTTTCAGATTTTTTTTTGCATTTTTATTTTGAGATTAAAATTATATAAGACTAGTAAACAAAAACAAAAAATCAACAAAATCTACATGATCCATAATTTATATTATTTTAACTAAGTTAAAATACAATATAATTTGTATTCATAACCAACTTCGAAAATTTGGTTAACACTTAGATAGAAAGTTTAAAGATGTTGAATCTCGATTCAGGTGTTGGATATTTAAAAAAAAAAAACCAAACGGACATAGTTAATAAGATAAAAAAACGTTTGTAAGAATAATTCTACTAGATATTTAGGAGTAAAAGACAATAGTGTATAAGTGAATGAAATAGAGGGCAATATTGATAAATGCATTAAAAAAATATGTTTCAACAGTGCTATAGAATAAAAAAAGCTCAAAGAATAATGAAAGTAGCATAGGAAATGGGCTGTTTACAATTAGTATTAGTTTAAATAAAGGTTTTATAAAATATGGTTTATTATATTAAGAATCAGACTAATATTTCTGTAGGACTGAAGTGATCTTTTTTTGGATTAGCTTATTAAAATATTGCCTTTATTAGATAAAAATTCTGTGATTACTATGGATAACGCTACACATGACTCAGTAAGAATTTAAAAAATACCAACATCCAAATGGACAATGAAAATTATATAATGGTTTGTGGGTAAAAATGTAAAAGTGAACAGTTCTCTGATTAAAACTCAATTATTGTAGTTAGTATCTTATATATATATATCAACAAGGCCAAAACTGGAGGGTTCAGGGGTCCAGACCTCCCCCAAAATTTTTAAAAGTAGAAACATTTTAGTTTAGTTAAGGTTATTTTTTTTTGTAAATAATTTTATATTATGAAGAATTCTGATGATATAAGTATAACTAGAAAACAATAATTTTTGGTGGTAATTATATAACTAACTCCTTGTTAATAAACACACTGTTATTAAAGTGTGTATGGCATCACTATAGTTTTATTATATATTTTTAATGGTTTTTATGAATATTGAATTTTGTTTTGCTATACATAATTATAAATGGTATTAATGTACTTAATAATTATTTCTGATTTTGAGTTAAATTGAATATTATTTGAGTACAATAAGTTTTTATTATTTTATATTACCCGTTTTTGAATCTTGAATCATACTTAACATCTGATCAAAATGATCTTGTCTAACTTGCATATTACATTCAGACGAAGAAGCTAATTGTAAACAAGTTTTTACAAACCTATAATCAAAATATAATCGAATAATTACATAATAATAATAGACAACAATTAATTAATAAACTTACTGATCTACATTGCCAATTTTTTTAAAACATTTAACTAATTCTAAATTTGTTTGTACTATTAATAATTTCCAGTTGTCTTGTTCGAATAATTTTAAGGCTTGAACTAAAAACATAGTTCTCTTTGTTGTGTCTCCTGACAAAGTGTAGAATTTAGCTAGTTGTAAACCAACTAAACTATGTGCACATCTCATTAATTTATTATGTTTATACGTACTAATGGCTAATTCAGCTAAATCCTAAAAATAAATTGAGATATTAAAATTATAATAACTAGACATACAGTCTATTGTACAGTACCAAATAATGTTTACTAAAATGTTCAGAAGATGAGAGAGTAGTCTTAAGTGTGGCTACAGATTCAGTAGCTGCACTCAAATCGTGACCACTTTGCATTCCACTACATAATACTTGTACAGTATGAAGCTGTTCAGTAGTTTGAACACTACCTGGTAGTAGGCCACAAAGCTCACCTAACTCAAATAACTTAAAAAAAAAAAAACATTTAATAATTAAAATGTATATATTAATTATTGATTTATAGTAAAAATTAAATTATCATATATATAAATATACTTTTTTTAAAGAATAATATAGAAGAGGAGCTGTATGATGAGAACATTCTTCTAAAAGTTCTGGTTTTTTAACAGATTTATAAATTACTAATATTTGAGCACAACATTGTAGAACCCAGCATGCAACTGAACCTTGAGGACATTCAATTTCTAATGTTTTTAAATCACTTACAGATTGATGGAGGAACATTAATGCTCTTTCAGCCACCTATAATACAAAAAGAATTGCTAAAAAATATTAAATTAAATAATCAAGTATACTATATAATAAACAATTTTTGGATCATAATTAAAACTGAGCTTAATATAAGGATAGAAAAAATAAAATCAAAAAATAACACTTACATGCCAAGGTTTGGATGCAGCCATCAATAAAGACGCCTGACGTGAAAACAAATAACATCTGAATTCAAGAAGCGATAGTTGTCTACTCTTAATAGCTTCCCTTTGTTTTCGACTTATATTTTCCATAAATAATACAGCAGACCAACGTTCTAAAGCCCCTTGGAATTTAGTTAACCATTGAGGAACATCTAAAAAATGAATAAAAAAAGTTAATTTACTACTTCAGTAACATAAAAACAATAATTAAATTTGTTTACTTCCAACTTGAGAGTTCAATATAAATTGAGTAAACATGGCATCTAGTTCATCATACTGGATTAAAGCTTCATCGTGTAGTCCAAGCATTTCAAGAGCAAACGCTAACTCTTCCTATGGAAATCATTTAATTATTTATTAAATTTAAAATATATACTGTAAAAAAGGGTTAAATACTTGGTATAAGAAATATTTGCAAAAACTCCAAGAAGGATCATTTCTTTGTTCTCTATAATTTCTTATATTATCTTCATACTTTAAAAACAATCTATCAAATGCAGACAAAATTAAAAGACGAACATTAGTAATTAATGCTCGCCATGCACTGCTACCGCACCTAACTTCTGATTTAGGAGGATTTATTACAGATAGACAGCTAAATAAGAATGAATAATTTAATTTGATGTTACATGATGAAATAAATATAACACAAATACCGATCAGCTTTTTTCTCAGCAAAATCGCTTTTGATCTTGTCAAAGACAGTTGTTCGAGGCAATAACTTATTATGTTTTCTCAGATCATATGTTTCAACTACAACTATTACCCAATCAATTATATTGTGTTTGTTCATTTCATTCATCCATTTGTCAATTTCATCTCTTAACAGTGATTTATACACTTCCATGTCCTGCAATAATGTAGTAAATTTTAATATTAATAAACATCAATTAAGTGCAGGTTTCAATAAGTTGATGGAACAGAAACATGTTAATTTCATCAATATGATTATTTTACAGGCTAAAGAAAAAATAATGGGATACAAGTACTCCAAGTCTTCAATATTTCTCACCAGACACTGTGTCCAAAATGTGTGCATAATAGGACGGCTAACCAGATTTCTACTGCTGATCTGCTCGGCTACAGCATCTTTGTTGAATGGCACAAATTCTGTGGACAGTGTGATCATTTTCATGGGTCTACCGTACTGACGCCTCCATTCTATTGACTCCTGGCTGAGCGACTGGCTAAGCACAACTTTCAGGTTCTCAAACAGTTCTTTATCACCGGCATCTGAAACAGCAAAACACCAATTTCAGTGGGACGATTGACAGGCGTGAGACATTTAAACGTGTGCTTACATGTAATCAGAGGTTTGTGGTCAGATATCCGGAGCGTATCGACACCTCTAACAGGGTTCGCAGCGGACATCATTTCTCGACCACTCGATTCACCGGGCACGACGACATCATAATCCACGGGGACTATTTGACCCCTTCGAGGGGAGTACGCGGTTAGCTGCGACGGGCAAGCTAACACCAACACTTACACCACGACGACATCGACGACGGTTGTGGCTCGCAAATCGCGACCAAGTGACACTACCTTACGACGATTCAACAAATCAAAACATTCGGTAAGACAGTGCAGGACTGATTGGATGATTTTTATTTGTTTTTTTTTTTTTTTTAATTATTCCGACGCGTAGAACCTTCTCAACCCAGAATTATTATATTATTATTATCGTCGTCCAAGTCGTTATCAATAAAATGTGACACAGATTAAAAACACTGGCCAGTCGTAATCGATGTGTAAAAATGTTATCAGATCCAAACAATGAAAACATACAGTGATAGTACTGGTAGTTTTGATAGCTAATTATTTTAATTATAGACGTAATGTCACCATGTTTTGTAAATCCTCTATTAATTTTTACTCTTGAGTTACTCGTGATGGTGCGCAATAGCGACTAATTATCTCAATTACTTTCACTCCTCTCAGTTCCTAATTGCTGCGAAATGAGTTCCGACACGCCGACCACGAGTTTCATTTTCCCCAAACGGGAAGATTGCGTTTACACTCAGTGCTACTGGTACATATTGCTCATATTCCGTGTGCATGGCCATTCTTGTGTTCAGAAAGACACACGCACATGCATATGCATACACAACCACTCACGGGTACCGTCTTTCATTCGATTTTGACTGATAACGACCATAGTTCTTTTAAACTATATAGTTATTAGTTAAAACATAGGTGGATTAGTATACCTCTGGTAATAGATTAAGTTTCGAAAAAAATGTAATTTCCTAAAGCTACAATCGGTACTATGAGAATTAAAATTATATATCTGGTCGGTTGATGAGTTATATTTGAATGTCTGCACATATTGTAGTTAATACAAACCAATGAAATGTATTATTTTTATTTTCACTTTGTAATGTTATAAATATATCATTCTATATTTTCAGTGAAGAAAATATATGGCATTTAGCAAAATCAATATTGGAAAGTAACAAATCTGTTAAAGACTTAAAATGCTATGTAGTCGCCTTGTCCAATTCCAATAAATGTGTTCATCTGTGGAAACAAACCATGAAAGAAAATGACTATCGTGATGGTCTTATTTTCTGGGTAAACAAAATATGTTAAATATATATATATGTGTGTATGTGTGTATTAAACAAATGATGTAGTTTTGATCCTTTGTAATTTATGCTTAAAATATTGAGACATTTATTTAATAATATATATATTTTATAGGATTACCATGTTTTTTGCGTTGTTAAACATAAAAATCAAACTTGGGTTTTTGATATGGACAGTAAATTGCCATTTCCTGTTTCATTCGCCCAATATGATAAAGAAGCGGTAAGACATGATTTTCCTGATATAAAACGGTACAATACATTATTATTATAATATTTTATCATGTATTAAGATTATTTAATATAATTTTAGGTATTTTAAAATTATTGATGCTCAAACATATATTGATACATTTTCATCTGACAGAAATCATATGCTAAAAGGAGGTGTTTGGCTGTCTCCACCACCGACGTATCCACCAATTCTTAATAAAGGTGTGAATCTAATTTAATTTTTTTCCTTCCTGATAAATAAAATTTGAATTAATGTTTTCTAATTCATTCTTATCTTGTCATTTGACTTTAATTCTATAAATTAAAAAATATAAAATTAAATATATACTTAACCTTTTGAGATAATAATATTGTTTATGTTATAAAGCTATACACTATTGCAGTTGGCCTGGGACTTTAAAAATTTATTTAAAAATACTACAGTCAACTTAAAAATAAAACTAGTATAAAGTGAATTAGAATTTATTTATTATGTGTATTGTATGCTCCATGTCATATTTACTGAAAGTTTCTAAGACTGAAATTAGTTAAAAAATATTCAAGAATTCTGTAATAAAGAATTTAAAAAAAAAAATGATTACTTTTTTGTTATTTTTTAAGACTTATAAGTAATATTATATTTCAACAGTTATGTTGGGTGAATATTATTAATTATTCTGTATGATGATTAAAATTAAGAAAAAAGATTAAAGTATTATTTAAATTAATTAGGTAGTAACATTTTGTAATTGTTTTGGCTGTATACCAAATATATTTTTTTATTAAAAATCATAATCATAACTATTTATTATTTATTTAAACATGATATTCTGGATTACATTTTAAACAAAAGTTGTTTTTCTACCAAAAACATTTTATATTGTACTTATTTTTTGGCAAATTTGTTTTGAGACGCTTGATCCGCTTATCCGATATTGATAGGTAATCAATTACTTACTGGTTTTATTCTTAATGTAACTTATATTATTGTTTTATAAATAGTTTATGAATTTGATCTAAAAGTGATGCTAAACATAATTTTAGATTTATTGTAATATTATTAACACGGGACACTTGTTAATATTTTGTTTACTTACATAAGAGTATGCATAATTTAACTATTATATATTGTTATTAAATAAATGTCAGTTTAAAAGTTAAGTATCTTATGAATAATGATAAATTACTAAATCAATCTAATTTTTTGTTATTCCTTTTTTATTATAGAAAAACAAAGTAATTTAGAAAATATCATATCAATGGAAGATCCTTTAGACAAATTTGGAGAAGTATTAAATCTGGAAAATTTCAAAGCAAAATTTTATTGATCAAGTAAATGTTTCAGAATGACTGATTTTATGGATATGTTTTATGCATATTGAATAATAATTGTATTTTATTAATTATAATTAATTAATTATTTCGAATATAAATTATTTTTATTTGGCTTTAGTTGTATTATTCAATATTGATAAGTTTTTATAAAAATATATTAATATTAATATGGTTTTAGTTTGTGAGACAATTTTGATTATGAACTAAAAAAAGAAACATTTTTAAAAAAATATATGTGTATATCAAGTTGAATATTGTCCTTAAAATATGCACAAAAAAAATCTATTTTTTATTTTTATTTATCTTTTTTAGATTTTTTTTTTTTATTGAAACTGAATATTTTTTAGAATCCTCTTTATTAATTTTAGCTGAAAATTATTTAATAATATTTTTTTTTCATTCTAAATAAATGTACTTAATTAATAAAATTATGAACAAAATATTTTAAGTTTCAAAAAAAAAAAATTCATCAAAAATTATAATCAGTTAACGGATATCTCAATATTTATCCATTTTTATTAAAATCATTGATTATTTTTGCTTTTAATAATTCAAAATTGAATATAATAATCAGGCATGCACAGACTTTGTTCGCAGGGTATACAGCTGATAAAATGTGCCCCCTCCCCATATATATATATACTAGCTGTCCCGACACGGCGTTGCCCGCGTATTAGTTGGTTTTTTGGCATTTTCGTAGGCCATGTATTAGTGTTATTATGTATGAGAAAATTTAAAAGTAATAGGTAAAGTATCTAAATGTTGAAATTAAGTACAAACCAACATATATATTTTCTGAATTTACGTCGTACCGAACTTCGCATTTTATACCTTTGAACATTTCTCGAAAATTCTATAACTTTCTTCATTACAACAATTGCAATGCAAAAAATAATATTGAGATAAAAACTATCCTATATATTTATTACAATAATTGCAATGCAAAAAATAATATTGAGATAAAAACCATAGGTTAGGTTAGTTATATAATTCTCGGAACAATTCATATCTACACGCCGACGACGATAAAATACACACAATAGAAAAAAGGTCAGATTACAGGTAGCTATATAGATACTGTCGCGGTCGGTCACGGGAAACCCGAAATACACCATGCAATTATACACATTTATTAAAAAGTTAATTAAAATATTTAAAATATTAAAAAATTTGAAAAAAACTATCCTATATTTTAAGTTGGACCAAATTACACACGGTGTAAAAAATTTCATCAAAATCGGTCCAGTAGTTTCGGAGATTATCGCGAACATACATCGTGACACGAAATTTTTATATATACAGATATAAATGCCCTTAAAATTAATGTGCATGTCACTTTATTATAAACTTATAACTTACTACTTTATATAAGAAAAAAATAAGTTTTTCATCTTATTTTGATTAAAAGTATTTTTTTAATTTCTTTCATGTTTTGTCCTAAATAAACTATTTCCATCAGACTATAGACTGATATTGTATCTATTTTGTGGTCAGATAAAATACAATCACCTTATAGTTCACCTTTAAGTTTTCGTATTCATGGATTTGTTGACGATAACAATTGTTTGAGAGCATCGTCGATAAAAATTGCATTCTTACTCAATGGTTCATTAATCGACAGTCTAGCAGCTTTAAGCCGGGTTCACCCTACATCGTGACGTGTGTTTTACCAGACCATGTGCTTTATAAATATGTGATACCAAAATACAGGTATCTATTTTACGGGCTTTGAGATCAGCAAACTCAGTTATTATATCAACAAAAGTTAATGTTGAACCCAATGCATTTTCCATAGATAAAAGAGTAAGTGAGTTTAATCGTTCTTGACTCGTTGTGACTCGATGTTTCTTTTAGTTTGTAAATCATTTGTTGATTCTTACCTGCCTTCATACGTCCAAAGATTCCTTCATTACTTTTTTAAAATATTTAAAACTCAATGACTTTCGAACATTTGTAAATACTAATAAACATATCCATTTTTAGTTTAGTATTTTTGAGTTTTAACTTTAAGTAGCAATTATAATTATTTTATTCTTATTAAAATCAAATCGCTTCCTAGCTAACTCTTTTTCGTAAACACATCAGTGCATGGTGAGTGGATGTGTGATTATATATAAGTATTATCATAGGCGTGTGCACGGGTGCAGGGAATGCTGCTTTCGCTACATCTGACAATTTATCTTGGATTTAGTGGGCTGGTAGATATTTATTTGAAAGGTATACATAGAATATATAATTTTAAACATATTGAGTTAATAATTAAATTAAAATATAAATGTTCATAAATGTTATTCAAATGAAAAATGATAATATTATTTTATCAATACAAATCTAAAAATAGATGGATATTATTGGGTAAATTTGACGTGCCTACACACTAGATTATACAGTATACAAATACAGACACAACCACAATGACAATATCGCATTAATCATTCAACCAGACGTGCAGCGATACGAAAACGGAATAGATGCCTTAATTAGTAATCAGTTATCACATAACCGAATCGACTATTATGTTTGTAATTGAATAATGATTTTTCACTGCAGTCTGAGTAGTGTCATTTATTACATATGTGATGTTAAATATATTTATAAGAGTATAAATGAATATACTAAATTTCATAAAAATATTATTACTTTTTATTTACAATTTACTATATTTCTTATAACTATAATAGGTTAGTCATAGAGTGATGAATCTATATGGTGGGGGGGATATACCATATAATAATTTGGGTACAAAAGTTATTATATGAAGTTATACAATATTCAATTTTTACACAGGGGGTTAAAAAGAATTCGGGAGGTGGGGATGCTATATAAAGGAAATAAGTGGGCTACTTATTGTTTTTTAGGGCCGGTTAAAAATGTATGCTGCACTCGACATAAAATCCTGCGCACGCCTATGGGTATTATATAGGTAGGTATGTAAACATGTAATGTATATGATATTACGCGTTAGATAAGTGAGTGTGCATGGATGAGTTTTTTGTGTAGATGGGAAATTATTGTGGGTGCAAGGTGCAGAAAGTAGTGACGTACATGGAAGTAAAACAATGGTAGTACAAAGAAATTTGGGATTTTTTGGTAGTGAATTGGTTTAAAGGAGTGTTAGAGTTTGTGGAGGGGTGCTAAATAATTATGAATGGGTTGGTATGTATGAAGGGCTTCTAAGATTGTGGAGGGGGTTTTAGGGTGTAAAAGGTTAGGTGAGTGGGTTCGTCTTTGCGTCGGGGGATTCAGAATGGTCCATCAGTTATTTGTCTAATATTTATAATTCATTTTTTATCGTTAACTCGATCACGGGGAGTATACCGACTACCTCAGTAATTTTTATGATGTTTTTTCTCACTAGGTATCATTATAAATGTATAACCAATATAAGAAACACATTTTTTTTTTAAATATCTTGATAACCATATTGAAAACTAAATTATATATATATATATATGTGTGTGTGTGTGTGTGTGTATATTTTTTATATGTTTTATCTAAAAATTAGATTGATCGGCATTTTTCAAAAATTGCAGTGACAATTCAAACATTCTATACTGCCACCGCTGACATACCTATGATAATAATTAGGGCCCGGATTTTAATGTAAAGTGCATATTTTTTTGTTTGATCATACACAATGCTTTCTAAGAACGTAATTCGTTTCATGTAATGAGGGTTTCAAAGCTATACATTTTATTTTGCATTTTTTTGCATATTTCGACGTTTTTTCATTTTTAAAGCATTTTTAGTGTTATTGGGTCATTTTGTTGGTTTTTAATGCATACATATTTTTCAATATACATACTTCACAAATTTAGCCTATTCAAAATAAAATCAAAAGATAAATTATTTTCTTAATATTTTAGTAGGTTTATCGGGTTTTCCATAAACATTGTCAATCTTTATTTTCCTATTCAGTTTTTATCTTATTTTAATTTATTATTGACTGTGGAACGTCACCAGTATTCGGTCAAATAACAAATAATCAATTAGTTCATGTACATTGCAGACGTTGCTCGTAATATGTGTGTTTGTGATTTTAATGTATTTAATAGTGTGTCACATAATGGCGAGAATAAAAAAATATATATAATTTTTAAGGTAGTTTTTTTAATTTTTAAGGAAATTTTTGAATATTTTTTAGAGCACATTTGTATGATTTTAAGTGCATAATAATGATATATGTTAAACCTAGTTCACTATAATAATTATATTTTTTAGATAAATAGTTATAAGGATTATAAAGTATATATTTTTATAATGTATATTTATAATCAGTGGCGTAACGGGGGAGGGGGGGTGTAAAGGGTTTCCAACCCCCTTTTTTTTTAATGATATTTAACTATTATTCAATAATATTTACATATTATAGTGAAATTATATTTTCATTTTACTATGATTAAGTATAGGTTAGGTTATATTAATTAATTATATTATATAAAAAATTAAGTAGCAAAATAATTTTCATTAAACACAGGACATAATAATAATATCTTAAGATATACTAAGAATATTATGAATTGACTCTTAAACACCCTTCCAGAAAAAATTGTATCTACGCCACTGTTTATATTATAATATATTATAAATTATTACTACTCAATAATTATTACTATTAATAAGCATATATTATATGCTTATCCATTGTAATATGATTAAAGAAACACAAAAAAAAAAAACAAGATTAAAAAAACACAATACAGGTTTAATTTTATTTATTCTCATATAAACAATATAAGTAGTTAAGTTATAATATGAGTAATATGTAATGGACAGTTCTGGAATCCCCGCGACCCGCACAGCCCCACCCAATCACCTACCCGCCACCCCGCACTATGCGGCGCCGTGCTAACCTAACACAAGCCGCTGCGGTGCAAACCTATTGTAATCTACCATAACCCCTCCCTACCCTGCCAATATGATTGGCCTTGTGCAGAGACGTATTTAGAGTTTTGACGCCCCAGGTACCCCTACACGTATACGTATACGATTTTTAAGAAAGGTAATATTTATTATCTATGAATTTTACGCGATCAAATTTTAATAATATCTAATATATAATATAAAAATCGCCATTTGGTCACTGCACAAAATTATAAAACATTAAAATTTTTCGATTGACGAATAAAAATAAATGATGGTTACAAAAAATGCTGCCACCCTTTGATTCCAAAAAAATGTGCCGTCCGGGGCGATGGTACCCACTCGACTCCCTTAAGTACGTCCCTGGCTTTGTGCCGCCATGCAAACCTAACATAATCTATCATAACCCCCTCCCCATCATGGCCAATATGACACCCTCTTCTTCATGTGCCCCCGCCGCCGTGTTAACCTACAGTGATCTAACTTATCTACCTTAACTCATGCTCCTCCCCTTCCCCCTGATATCATACCTTCCGCTCCATGCCGCGCCAAGGATGTACGATCGGTGGCTTTAACCCTTGTGGCATGTAATCAGTGACTTTTACGTAAATACCGTAGCTCATTGGACGGTGCGTGTGAGTAATAACAAAATTTTCACTCTTTACCTCCAAACATTTTTCCAACAGCGCCTTGAAGTCAGAATATACTACGAATAGATGGCGTTGTGTTAAAATGTAAGCCCCACCCCTCGACCTTAAGTAATGTCCCATCTTCAGGCATCCGCTGCAAAATTGGCTTGTGTGTGTCTCAAACTTTTTTGTGCTCACGCAGAGCCGCCTTCTTCTTTTAAACTATATATACAAATATAAAAAATGATTCCAGAACTGTCCATTTTATACTACTAATATATCCATTTAAAAATGTATTAACATTAAAAAATAATTATTAAAAATATAGTGAACCTAAATATCGGGATTTGGGAACTAATTCTTAATATAAATTAAACATCGAAAGCGAATTCTCATTATAAACAGTGATAAAAGAAAAAAAAGGACAGAAAAAAATTTATTTTTACCAAAGGAATAAGAAATTAAATAAGAAATATAAAGTTTATTGCTTCAATATATTTAGATTTATTGTTGATCACAACAATATCAAAATTGTAGTCTTAAATTAAACATATCTATACTTTATAAAACTGTTATATAAAGTAGTTAGGTATAATAATTTAAAACCGTATATATCATATATAATTATCACATTTGAAAGTAGATACGTATCATTTATAATCATCATTATCGTATTTAAATTATGCTTAAAATTTATTTATTCATAGAATATACTTTATTCATATATACTTCATATGGACGCATTTCCAGTGTAAGAAGTTTTTCAATAAAAAATATAATATTTATTAAAAATGTACAGTTTTTTTTTTATAATAAAGGTACCTATATTAACTTACAGGTTATTATCTGAAAAGTGCATTACACAACGATGGCGCCATACGATGTCGAGGATACGTTTAAATTGGTTTCTCAATGATTCCCTTGCGGCCTTGGGTAATCGGCAGGTCGAAAAATTTGTATAGTATCAATAACTCTAATGGCAGGCTGTCAGATTTTTGAAGAGTTGTTCCTTATATTACGTATGGGCACATCAAGACAGTACCTTTATACAGTCGATCCTCTAAGGGACACGTTACATATTATTATTCCGTGATCAAAAACGTCTGTATTTCATTGTTGTACACCTCAATAATATATATATAAGCGCTATTATTACGAGCAAACCTATTATTGGCGGTGTTTTTAAATATATTTATTGGATCAAAGTAAAAAAAAACCGCGCCTGCAGTATACTTTTGGGTATAGGTTATCTTCACAAAATTACAATTTATATATATAATATAAAATCGTTTCGGTTATGTTATTAACGGTTATCTAAAGAAATGTCTATTGAAATTAAATGTATATAAATAAACAGTAGGTTGGTGTATTGTAATTGAGTTACGCTGAAAATAATTCTAGTAGTGTCCATAATCGTACCTAAAGTGAGTATATATTTTTTTCTAATTTATAACAATTAAGTATTATTACAACAAATTCAAAAATTAAGCACTAACACAAGAGCACAACTACAATATATTCCATAGATATTTATTGAGAATTTAAACTGTGATTTCGCTTATTTCCGATTGGTTAAGGATCCACAAGTTAATACCATGTAACGTCAGTAGTATAATTGCAGAACTAAATAATATTGAAAAAATCTGGAATTATATTAAAGAAATGTTATCGCAAAAATTAATTTTGTACACAATATAATAACATCAAATTATGATGAGTTTTGTGAAAAATATTGTCAATAATATTAATAATAATATAAATATAATAAAAAACAACAATAAAATTGATTATATAATACAATGAATATGTTACGTCGAGCTTATGAAATTGCCGATTTCATGAAATCAGCAACGTTGTCGCCGAATACGTGTAATCGGCAATTTGGCTACCAAATTAATGAAATCGACAAATTTTGATTACTGATTTCGTGAGTTAGGCAGTCTTTTTCTGCCAATTGCACGAATTCGGTAACACATTATTATGATATAATTACAAATAGTGACTTATGGCAGTAATTTAAAATGTCCTCCCTCTTATAAAAGTTGGTGACAGTGTGCTGGTGTCAATATCATCTGTGAATCGAGGGTGAGGTGATGTAGCCAACCTTCTTGCAGTTACCATAGAAGAAAAAGATGGCAAATTTCGTATCGGGACTAAAGAAGGGATTTTAAGCACATGGCTGGAGCGGAACAGTTTGGCAGCTACAAAGTACTGTTCCCTAACAACTGCAGACGTTCAACAAAATTAATATTCATTACGGGAACTTGTTAGATTGGGGTCAGTTGAGACCGGACAAGGCTATTGATTGGCTATATAATGACGTTGTACATGTCGTACGATTTGTACATCTAAAAAGTGCACATGTAAAAAAAATAATATGATGTGTAATTCGGCGTGTCACCCAGGTCAAACTTGCCTAAATATTTAAATATAATAAATTTTTTTTTATTTACTTCTTTTACACATTAAAATGTCTTTATTTTATTATATTTCCGGTGTTTTACACATTTATTTAAATACATATAATATTTATTATTACAATTTGATTTTATTATATTTCCAGCGTTTTATAAATTTATTTAAATTAAATTATGCTTTATAACTTTTTAAGAAGGGCCTTGCCAATTTCACGCAATCAGCAGTATTATGTACTTTGAGTTGCTGATTTCACGTATTCGGCGACAACGTTGCTGACAATTTCATGAATCAGCGTAACATGTATAAACTAAATTTAAATCATTGACAAAATATTATACAGGACTTTAACACAAAATTTGTATTATAGTATACAACTAATATTAGTTGGATGCAGTTCGGCAGTATTTTGTTTACGATATATTATAGTCTGTGATGATATCCACCAAGACGTAACACAATGTCAAAAATAAACCCGTACACCACCCAATTATCAATATTTGTGCACCATCCGCCACACCATCTCTACCATGTCTGTTGTTAGTCCTATGTTATTGTATATTATCGAGTTTGCGATATAAATATAATAAATATACTAATAAATTGTAGTGAGATGAATATAATGATGAAACTTTGGTTTCTTCCAATGCATTCGAAACGACTGAAAAATTGAAGTGGAAAGGGTAATTCACAAGATCCAAAGCTACTAAAATCTTAAGATAGAATAATCAAAAAAAGATTACGAAAGTACATAGATCCAAATCCAGATATTGAAAGGATTCTAACTAAGAAAAATACCCGGGAAATTTGAACTCGTTACACATTAACAGAAATATTAAAACACCATTACGCATGCCGAAGAATAAATATCTAGTCTACACGACCAATGTATACAGTAGTTGCTATAATAGCTATGGCATACATAGATATTCAATTATATAGAAACTTTACGGATTCTAGTTAAAACCATAAGCTTAATTTCAGCAGAGAAAATAGCCTAATATGGTTTAACAACAAATACCTATAAAAAATGGTTAATTATACTGAAAAACATTTTCAACGAGTCAAAAAATATTTTAAATTTAAAAATAATAGTTGCACGTTGTATTGTATTATTTATTGTTACTAAGCTACTAAAATACTTTCCATCTGCAATTGAAAATATAAAATGTTCAGATTATAATTGTATACACAGACGCAAATCAATTGCTAATATGATCATTATTCATTGCTATACGGACAATGGATTCGATTGGACATAGTGAAGGGGCCAACTCCACGTACATTTTGAGACAAGCATTTTTGTAATAAAACATTCTGTATATAAAACATTCATCATTATTATTTCTATATAAGATATACCTAAATATCTATATAGTTAAACGGTTTAAATTATTAAATATTTTCATGAATATGCAATGTATACTACATAGTATAATACATGTATATATTTTAATTTATAATCTACAATTTGCACAGATATACATTACAGTTTAGATCATTATAGATAAATATTTGAATTTTGATGCTTTTGTTTAATTATGGTACAAAATAACAAATATTTCTACGCTCTAGTACACAAATATCTAATATAATAAAAATAATAAAGGATACAAGTTCTATAAACGTCCAGTTTCTTGGTATTATATCATTTGTTAAACTCTTAATATTTTTAGAAAAATGTTTACGGACAGTGCACATTTGCAATGGTATAGTGGACGGTATAAAATCATTCAAGTTCATATTCTTTTCATTTTCCCATCCAGAATAACAGTCGCAAAGATCGGTAAAATTGTTCACGCGTCCATTATGACAACGAATTTTCTAAAATATGTATATTTATTAAAAAAAATATTTATCAGAGTAAAATTTTAATTTTCATATTTGTCTACATAAACTACGATAGATGTATATGATTCGTTTTAAATACAATAATTATCATAACATGCAGAATAACGGTGATTTTACTTGACTGATATGAATATTATCGATTTTTTGGAACAATTCATCACTCTTATTGTTTTCTATCCTATACAATACTTCTTGTATGTCTTTTTGTGTGACTGTATTATTTAAATCAACACATTGGTTGGTAGACCAGAGATAAGCCTATTAATATAATAATAAATTATTTTTAATATAATAATTAATGTCTGAGTTATTATATATTTATGTAGTATGGGGCTGGAAACAGGGGCGGGTTTTATCACTAATCAAGGGAGGGTCTAATGGAGGTTTAAAAATTTATTTAGTTGGTTTTTTAAATCTATATAAAATTTTAAATTACAGAATTTGTTTTTAAGTCCCTCATAAGTAAGTAATTTTTTTCACAATAATGACAAAGTTTAAATAATTACATTATTGATATCAATTTTAATCTGAAACTATTTTAAAATATAGGTAAATACATATAATTAACAACAAAGTGAGCTATTTATTTATAAATAAAATATATAAAATAGGTACCATATTTATCTATGACCATTGACGATATTTTATTATAACTATTAATATATAATAATACTGTTCTTTGTAAAATAGATAGTTTAGTCCTAAGGGGGGGGGGCTAATGCCCTCTTAGCCACCCCCTTAAACCCGCCCGTGGCTGGAAAGACTGTAAGCAAAAATTGTGCTATAGACAACCAAAAATTCATCAAAATTAAAACACATAATTTTAATTGTTATACTTATTATTGCAGTTACTACAATGTAGTATGGATGCGTGTTGTATGATAGTTGCTTAGTATAAAATATTTTCTAATTTAGTCTTTTGCCTGGATTATATAAAAACATACTTGTTTCTAAATTAATATTGCAGAATTATTATTAAAGGTTCATTTTATTTATACCTACTTATAACATTTAGAATATATGTTTTAATTGAATGGTTTTCAAAGTGAAAACAATATTTATGAAATGTATAGAATGAAATATTAAAATATATTTACTTGATTTATATTCATATTTGATTGACATTTTGGAATCCGTACACATTTTTTCTCTGATGCACTATAAAATCCTCGATGTCCAGAATATTTCATATGACAATTCACAGGAAGACAAGAATCTAAAGGATCTTCATCTGGGTATTGGCATTTTATTTTTGAACCACCTAAATTATTTTTAACGTATAATTGATTCACTGATTTATTTAATTTAAATTAACATATTAATATATAGATATATATATGTTAACATATAGAACATGGGAGGTTTCATATTTCTCATTTATAAGCCAAATAATTATTGTATAGTGAAAAGTTCAATATATTTTTTAAAATAATATTCTCAAATAGAACTTATACGAGTATTATGTTTTACTTATTAAGTTATTATTAATGTAATTAAATGAAATAACATTGTTGATTAGACTATTTAAATATGTATAGGTATACAAGTATATCTATACTTATACATAACTCATGAGTAGGGCTCGGATTTTAATGCAGTGCGTATTTTTTTGGTTTATTAAATACAATGTTTTATAAGAACATAATTCGTTTCATATAACGAGGGTTTCAAAGCTATACATTTTTTGTTGCATGTTTTGACATTTTTTTTATTTTTAAAGCATTTTTAGTATTATTGGGTCATTTTGCTTGTTATTTTTTCAATATACTTAACAAATTTAGCCTGAAATAAAATCAAAAGATAAATTATTTTCTTGATTTTTAGTAGGTTTATCGGGATTTTACACATTGTCAATTTTTTGATTCAGTTTTTATCTTATCTTAATTTATTATTGACTGTGGAACGTCACCAGTATTCGGTCAAATAACAAATAATCAGTTCATGTACATCGCAAACGTTGCTCGTAATATGAGTGTTTGTGATTTTAATGTAATTAATAGTGTGTTAAATAATGGCCAAATGACCAAAATAAAAAAATATGTTATTTTTAATGTCATTTTTGAGGTAAAATTCATTTTTAAAGACATTTTTGGCTATTTTTTAGAGTATATTTGTATAGTTTTAAGTGCATTTAAATCCGGGCCCTACTCATAAGTTTTTGGTATTTACGTACAATTAAAAAAAAATGTAAATAATATTCATTATAATTTTGATCACATATGTAGCAAGTTATAATAAGTTGATAAAATATTTGAATGTTCACGAATGAACAAAAGTATCGAACAATCTATCAAAAAAAAGATAAATGTTGTGTCACTATCATACACATATATACATTATACGTAGATACTGTTAAATTTGTAAAAATGCTCGAAATATGGTGGTCGAAATGTTACATATATGTAGAATATAGTATGTAGTATCATTAATTATAAATACTATTATTTATAATTATCAAGGGACTTTTCGGCTGCTTGAGGAAAAACTGGATGTGCTGGAATTTTTCTGAAGCTAGATTCGGATTCAGTGTCCAAAAATGCATGCAGGTAAGGCAGTGGCGAACGCATGGAGGGGTTTTAGGGGTTCCCCCCCGAAATGAATGGATGATTAATTTCAAACGTAGTTATCCTACCTTATGTACCTTAAAAAAATGAATTATTTAAAATAAGATTAAAATATGTTAGAAAAAAATGTTTTGTTAAGAAAAGTGAATTCGTAATAATTTGTAATTTTCCAAACGTTCTAAAAGGTATTGGTACTTAAAACTAAAATTTTTGAAATTCCATGATGGCAATACTTCGTAAAAATAATGCGTGTTTGTAACTCGCTTATTATCAGTAAGTAAAAATAAGTAAATATACGTAATCGATATAATATTATTTACAATGGTACATTATGATTGACGGTTTCCCTAAATTTTGTGTTGTATGGTCATGTGATAATGATCGACAATAGTCAATCTATAGTCAATAGTCAATTATTTTAAAATAACGGTAATCAAGCCCGTATTTAGAGGGGCACAAGTAGGCACATGTCCGAGGGCGTCACATCTCAGTCACATCTCATCATATATGAAACATAATATTTCTTTTCATGAAACCTAATGTTTTATTATGTGTAATAATATTTTAGTATTAATTTAAAATAATTTGCACAAATATGCGACGGACAAAAACTGACCAAGTGACAAACTGACAACAATATAATAATTAATAATCACTATCTATCCAAAACATCGTAGACAGATCGGTTAATATTGTTATAAATTTATAAACAAAAATTTTTGACATTTGATCTATTTTTAACAATTATAATATCCGCTCGACAAGACAATATCGCACACGTCCACCGGTGAATTATTTAAATTCTGATGTTACAGTATGTAGATGCTCGGCAGTTTTCGATAATCTTCGCAAATACCCGAAGTCGAAGAAAATTGAATCGAAGTTTATGCGGACACGAGGCTATTTTTGAATAATGGGTATGGTATATAATAATAACAATAATTTTATACTGTTATTGTTGTATAATATATGCCTTATGGTGATGAAAAATTAGAAGCTTGCGTATACCCATTATGTACGAATGATTAGTTAGCGTATACCCATGATAGACGAATTTTCTTAATTTTTTTAAGATATACGCATAAATCCAAAAATAGGGATAAGGGTATACGGCGTATATCCGCGTATACCGTCCAATACACCACTGCTCGTTACATGAAACGAATTATATTCTTTAAAAGAATATAAGAATATAAGAGAGCATTGTGCATGATCAACCAAAAAAATATGCACTTTGCATTGAAATCCGGGCCCTAGTAATAACCCTAATTTGCCGTTTATTAATAAGTTATTAATACACAGCAAATTAGGATTATTACACTCGATTGGATATAGTTCATAATGAAATTCAACAGATCGCGTGATCACAAGTGACAAACATAATTACTGCACAGACGGGGGAAATTTCAGTTATAACATCTAAGAATTTAATTCTATATACACCTTTAGGATTCACGATATTGTATTACAGTAACCTTATTATTATTGATATTTGTCGATTAAATTGGATACGGTGTATTTATTTGTGTGTGTGTGTGTGTGTAACGTGTATGTGCGTGTGTATTCGAAGACGTCAGTCACTTTCGTAATACAAAACAAACGTAAAACAGTAATTATACAGTTAAAAACTATTTCATAAAGTTTAATTTTAAAATATAAAATTAAAGTTGAATAAAAAAAAAAAATTAGCCTTACTTAAATTAAAAACTTGTCACAAGCGTTGTTTCTGTCTATTATTACAGCAGGATTAAACTCAGAAGTAAATATATAAAAAAATATGTATTTGAATTTGGATTAGTATATATTTTGTACGTAAGTACGAGTACATATGAACATTTATTAAAATGTAAATGCATTACGTACAATAAATAATTAAAAACTTTATATTCATGTTTATTTTGCTTACAAGAAGCTCTTTAAATTAATTTAAATATTTTCTATTTATGACGTTTTAATTTTCAAAAAATATTCTGTACACGTGCTACATTTTGTCATAAATAGAGCGCGGATTTCTATGCAATTGCATATTTTTTTCCTTTCTATATTTTTGGATTATTGTCAGTTATCTCCACGGAATCATCATAATTTGAAACTAATGGTGAAATTTTTTTTGCATGTTTCTGCATATTTAGAGGTAATTGCATATTTTTGCATATTTTGGCAAAATTCAAAATTTATTGCATATTGAAGTGAAAATTTAAAAAAAAATGTATAAAATAATATTTTGTCAAGTAGAAAAATTAAAACTAAATTTCATAGTCACTAAATAATAATTTATATATATATATATTTAGTTATAAAATAAATAATCGATTACAACGTAAACTTAATCGCTCTTGCTGTGTCAGTCGGTTATCGACATACCACTTGCTTCAAATATGCCCCAATAACTTCGGTTGATATCGAATGTTCGCTTTCAGTCTTTAAAAATATGTTAACCGATAAACGACACAGCTTTACAAAAGATAAACTTGAAATGCATATGATTATTCATTTTAATAATAAATAAAATTTTAAAAATAAATTAAGTCCAAAAAATTCCTTAAATTTTTTTTGTATTAAGTATTTAAGTAATTAAATATTATAAGTTGAATTATACATTTTAAATAAATAAAAAATTTTTGCATATTTTTTGCATATTTTCATAATTTTGACTGCATTTTTTTGCATATTTTCATGATTTTTACTGCATATTATATGGCATATTTCAATATTTTTAAGTGCATACAAATCCGCGCTCTAGTCATAAATTATCAAAAGGAAAATATAATATCTTTAAAAATTATTTATAGACATTAATATATTTTATTTCTTTTTAATTCATAATAATGGAGAGTTGCAATAATATCTTTTAACGCTGTAAATACCATAATAATTATACGTATGGTATAATTCAAGTATTGTAGTTTATGTTATCTGTATATTTATTTAATTGTTCTAAAAAAAAAATTTTCATGGAATCATTTTATAATTTTTTATTATGAATTTTAAAATAGTAATTATAAGTAGTATAATTATAATAATATAATACAATAATAATTTTTTAAAGGGTGCAATATCGTACATTTTATTGTTGCTGTTTTATAATTTATTAGTTATTTTTTGAAATTTATACGCTCTTCGTACTGTGCTCAAAATCTTATTATACTTATTTATAATTTTTTTTTTTTCAAGAATTTCAAATTTGAATATATTTTGCGATCATTATCGTCTATCTTATACTAGTTGATATTAAAAAAAAAATTTAGATATAACTATGTAACGATGTATAAATGTATTTCGTATGATAATATTTAATAGTTACCTGTTAGTAGACTTGAAAATGTCCTTCGGGTTAAATATGTATCAAAATTAATCCGTTGAATTATTGGAATATTCAAATTTTGATTACTGTTAAATGTTATATTAATGCGAATGTCACATTTTCCACGGCGATTGTATGAATACTATCAAATAAATATAAGACTTTATTAGTACATAAAAACACATCACATCATATAGTCCTATCATAATCATTAAGATTTCTATCGGCTCTACACAATAATTGATAACTGTTTTAAAATATATTCGTAGTATATAATACTAAATATTATTACTCAATATTATAGAATATAATAATAAGAATATGAATATATATATAATATAAATAATATATAACGTATTTATATAACAGACAAATAAAATGCCTATGAGTAATAAACAAAATATAAGTCTAATGTTTGCATTTAGTGTTAATAAATTGGAAATATTTTTTTAGAAATGTATGCGTGTTTTGTGTGATTAGTGATTACAGTATATGTGTTTATACTACTAAAGTACAAAACAAGTATTGCATGATTATTATTTAAATATATACACAGAATTCGAAATTGCCAAGATTAATAGTTAAAAAGCATTTAAACTGAATTCTCTGTAATTAGTTTAATATAATAATAAAATACCTAATACACGGAAAAATGATCAAGTATTCAAATAGATAAAACATGTTTTATAAGTACATATTCTACAACTTTTAAAGTAACGCCACATAATTTTCACTTACACTAATACATTTTTTAATAGATTCACGAACATTTTTAACAAATTTTAAAATATATTAAAATATCAGTAACATTTTGGTACATTTTAAGGCAGCATAATTTTTCTGTATCTCATGCAATATTTATTCAAAATACGAGTAGTTTTGGTGTTAAGCTGATTTAATAAATGTTTTTCAATATTCAATAAAGATAAATTGGTAAACCTATGGTAAAGCATCTTAGCTAGTTTTTATCCACTGCATTATTGAAAAACTTCGCTCACAAGTAGCAGAGCTTATCGGAATTGTGATTACAATTTGCAAAAGTTGATATACATTTGGGAAGGAATCTTTTTTAATTTTATCTTTCATATCTTCTAGTATAAAGTTTGTTGGTAGGCAATTATTAACAATCAACATTTCTGCTTTTAATACATCAATCTTTACACTTAAAATATGTATACAATTATTAATTATTGTTTTGTAATGATTAAAATTTACTTTTGAATTTATATTAACCTTATATTGATTGATAAACTCTAGACTTCTATCATAGTTTAAACTTATAAATTTATCAACTGAAAAAGCCATTGATAAGTTTTTCTTAAAAAAATCTTAAGATTTGCCAATCGATTATTGGAAAATATACAGTATACTACAGTATCCGTAATGTATACCATATAGTTAATCGTCCGACAACTATAGAAATATCCGAATATCCAAATATCCGAATATGGAATGAATTATAATGTATTATATTATGACTTACGACCTAATAGTTATACATTTTTTAGTACATTTTTCATAATTTGAAAACATAAAATTTATGATATTTGACTAAAATAATAATAGTTGGATATAAAAAAAACAAAGAAGGTGCTAAATTTTAACTTGGTGGTGCTAAAGTCTTTTTGCACTGCCCTAGTTGCTCCACTGTAACTCACTGTTACCTCCAAGTTTTTATTAGTTCCGGAATTAATGTTATGGTTTTGTAAGGTCGTCATTTGTAATTTATGTCAATTGAATTATGTAGTTCACTGAATTGGTAATTCATTATTATTACATAAAATGAAATATATAGTTTACAAGAATTTATTGAATTAGGAGTTGACTCACTGAATTAAATCGTTGAAATGAACTGAGTCAAGTGAATTGAACAATAAATTGAATCGAAATTCTCACCTCTAGAAATAACCTAATAAAATAAAAGTAAAAATTGTTGTTAACATTTTAAAATCTATTGTTTGTAGACTAAATTTTTATTTTACATGTTGAAATTAAATTATTTCATGAATAATATCATCTCACTCACATTACGACTAAAAATTAATTTCTAACAACTATACGAATGTATCATTACTGTACAGCACATTTTCTCTAATTTTCAATCAAATTTATTTCATAAATTATTAAGTTATTTTATTTCTAGTTATATTCAATTTAGCGTACTTATTTATTTTTTAAACTTAACTTGGACTAAAAAACATTATATTTAAAAACGCGTTCGTTCAGTTAGCATATTCATTTACTCATAACAGCGACGTTATATAGTATAGTAAAGGATATTCCCCATCGGCTTTTTACTGGTTGCCTATGGTAACACTAAAAAACTACAATAAAAAATAAAGCATTATAACCATTGGAGTGTGTCATAAATATACCTCGGCACATATACAAAATTACTAGGGGAGATATTAGATAATTCTAATTTAAACTTTTTTAACTATATACGTTTATAAATTCAACTTACTAATTCAAATATATGAATAACAAACAGTATTATATTTTGTTTTATCTATATAATTAAACGCATGGTTTTATGTTCCAATGTTATTAAAATACAGCAGACATTTTAATATCTATTACATCGTATATAATATGTCCCTAACATATATTAGTATATCAAAAAGTAGCTGATTTACATAAAAACATTTTTCGGTTTACCTAAACTAAAGCTTAATCATGATTAAGTATAATATACATTTATATGTATAAAGATATATAAAAACTCGCGTCATATGCTATCTACCCAGTGGCGCACACAGGATTTTTTTTCGGGGGGGTACAACCCCTTAACCCCCTGCGTGCACCACTGTATCTACCTGTACTTTGATCGCGTTATATGTTATCTACCTTTCGGGTGATATCTACTTTGTATGGAGACTGATATTGTAGGTATAACCGTATAATTATAAACATCAACTCAAACGAATGGAGGGCTTACAGCAATTTAAGTGATCACGGCTATGTGCATATAACTGTAAGCCACCAGCTCCACTTCATTGATCCAGAAACAGGGGCCAATATCCAATCTACAGAGTCTACGTGGAGACGTGTCAAAGTAAAATATGGTATAAAAATACGTGGTGCCACTAATTTATTGGAACGGGAGTTGATGGAAGAGTGGTAGCGTTCACTCAATGCATCAAAGAAGTTTTTTGACCAGTTTTTTGAAGACTTGAAAAATAGTTCATTAATGTAATAATGCCCAGATGCCCAAAACGACACCTACAGATTGCTGGGTGGAAAATTGTAGACAACATACAACGCCAACAAACAATTATGGTAGATACATTTCTCATGTAGATAGCATACGGCGCGAGTTCCGATTCCTTATATATATAAAAGAACAGGCCTTTTTTATGTACCCATTTTGTGACGAAGCTATTTAACATTTTTCCAATTTTTTTCCCAGAATTGTTCCAAATACCTTCCTAAGTGTCATCACATCACCCGATTTTCAAAATTTCGATTTTAAAGGGTTGAATTCGGTAAAAATAATTTTTTATATGTAATTTGTATATCTATATTCAATAATAACAATAGCAGTTGACCGATTATGGTTGCTATGACTTATGTAGGATTATATGAAAAACCGCATTATTTTGACAACCACAAATAACCGAGCTGACTCAATAAACTCGCTAATAATTAGTGGATTTCAAGCACTAGAAATGGATTACTTTTCTATCGATACAGTTATTAATAGTGAAGAATCGGTACATTTTCCTACCGAGTTTTTAAATTCACAAATACCATCTGGTATGCCTCCTCATAAAATATCACTGAAGGTGGGAGTTCCAATCATATTATTGAAAAATTTGAATTCTTTTAGATTATGTAATGGGACTAGGCTCCATGTAACCTTTTTCACAAAAAATATCATTAAAGCTGAAATTTTGACCGGATGTGCTAAGGGAGAAAAAAATATTTTTACCGAAAATACCATTATACCACAACGATTTTCCAGTTAAGTTTAGAAGAATTCAGTTTCCAATAAAAGTATGTTTTGTGATGACAATAAACAAAGCTCAAGGTCAGACTTTAACTTACTGTCGTGTAGATTTTGAAAATAACTGTTTTTCACATGGGCAATTGTATGTGGCATTGTCTAGAGTTGGAAGACCTGACCATTTATACCTTTATGCACAATTAAATAAAACTCAGAATGTGGTATACCAAGAGGTTTTGACTTAAGCCATATTAGAATTGAGCAATTACGTAAAGAGTCATCAGTAAATATTATTATTATTTTTTTTGTTATTGATTGTTATTAATTCAGCTACTACTATTACTATTTAGCTTTTGATAGCATTAAGTAAAATACATTTTTTTTCTTTAAAACACAAAAATGTGTGTTGATTTTACAATTTCATTTTGAGAAAGCAAAAACTACACATGGGCGAAGTCGGGTAATTCAGCTAGTATATATATAAATTTAAAAAAATAAAAATAATAACTTTCTTTCCTTTGTATTATATTTATATAAATACAATTGAAAGTATAATGTAAAGTAAATTAAATTTTGATTTTAAATTAATATGTAGGACAAGTCATTGATATTTCAATAGGCAGCAGGTAGAAATGTATAAATTATATATATTTACTATATAATATTATTTATATTTTACTCAATAAATTTTAAACCAAAAATGTAATCAAAAATAGATATGTAGCAAAAATACTTTATTATGAATACTGAATAGTTATGATTAAATAATATATTAAACAATAAAAAAAAAATATTTTATTAGTTTTTATATATTATTCGAATTATATTATTATCATTTTTTAGATATACATACATATTATAACGGAATCCCACAAGGGTCAAGCCTACCAACAGCCTTCATTTTTAATAGCCATAAATTAAATTTTCAATACCATTAGAAAAACCATCAAATACACTCTTTTCGTAGAATATTTTTCGATTAACATATTTTTTATAGAAATAGACAAACAATCACAATACAAAATCTACTCCACAAAACAAAACGCAATATCATAAAATGGTTTTAAGAAACTGGCTTTAAATGTTCATCAAATAAAACACAAAGCATATACTTTCCGAAAAAATTAATCAAAATCTACCAACTTGTATAATAAACGGTTCAAGAATACCAAATAAAAACACAATAAAAATAATAGGCATAAAAGTTGATACTAAATTATCATGGTTTCCCCACCTGAATTATAATAAAAAAGAAACATCCCAAAGAATATACATCATTAAAGTACTAGCCCACACAATTTGGGGTTCCAAAAGTAAGTTATTAATACAATTACATAAAGCATTAGTCAGATCAAAATTAGAATACAGTGCAGAAATATACTCTTAAGCAAAAATCACAATCTTAAAAACTATAGACTATCAATCAAAATCAAATCAAACTATAGACTCAAAATTAATTAATGCAGGAGTTCCACAGGGCTCAAAATTAGTACAACTATGATTTAATATATTTCTATCTGATATCCCATCTAATGAAAACACTAATCTTACATTATATGACGATGACAGTGTTTTCTACTCAACCTCAAAGGAACTAATATGTATAAAAACAAACATACAAGAACACCTTGATAAAATTCATGGCTGGGCAAAATATGGCGTATTGTTTTTTATCCATCAAAAAGCTGTGCAGTGCTGTTTATTCTCCGATTTCCTCTAAATCCTACTCCTTTCTATATAGGCGGAGAATATTATTTGGTCGCCAAAAATCAAATACCTTGGTATTATTCTTGATTGGAAACTCACCTGGAACGCTCACAACAAAGCAAACTACAACAAGATTATTAAAGACTTAAATGTTATATCCACTTTTAAATCGATATACTAAGTTAAATTGGAAATGTTCCTTATTACTTTACAAACAACCACTATGTCCCCTCATACTCTATGCATCACCAATTTGGAGATATGCCTCAAATTCCCATATCAACAAAATACAAATATTTCAATCTAAAATTTTAAGATCTATATTAAATGCCCCATGGTTCATGTCATGTTCACCAGAAACATGACACTTCACATTGATTTTTAGATTTTCACAGTCAAAACTTATATAAAAATATTATCGATCAAATTCAATTGATTGTATTTTAAAATACAATTGTCCAAATCAAAAAGAATACAATTATATCGCTTATCTGATTATCCCCAGCACCGTCAACTTAAACGGGGTCGTCCATAGGATAATTAAAGCTTTCAAATTTAATCTACGATTTTCTATTGCATTTTATACGTAATCAGTTGTTAATTTACAGTAGGTATGTTAATATTAGATTATTATTATTTTTTTTTCATAAACAGTTGCAAATATTATAAATGTCAAACTACATTATAATTATCATCAAGCTTAGATGACGTCATCGTCAGTAAAACTTTTATTATTAAAAAAGAATAATAATAATAATAATAATAAAAAAAAAATAGCTATCAGTCGCATGAATTTAATCGAAATAAATTATTTGGATAACGGACAAAAAACATTTTCCCATCATCGGAGTTCGTGATCGTAGGTTTTCGGTCTAAATTCCTCGTATTGTTTTATACAAATATAACAACGATTTAATTTAGATTTCCGTTCGAAATTTTTATATGTTTAGTCGCTAGTATACTAAACATAGTACGTATAATACACCACAGTGGTGGTTGGGTCAGAGTTAGTAGTTATTTTTCCCACATCGATTGACCGTATATTTATATGTGTATGTGTGTGCATTATGTATATGTATATAATGTATATGTACGTCCGGTTTTTTCATTATTACCTACACTTTTTTTTTCCTTATTATTTTCCTATTCTATAAATTATTAACATGGCGGCCGTCAAATAATTGCTTTACGTCAATTACTGCATAACCGAGTTCCGACGTCGATATTATTATTATCATCATCATCATCGTCGTCGTCGTCATCATTGTCATCATCATTGCTGTAGTCGTTATTATCATCATAATAACACATATATACACAATGCACCCGAGGAAACAATACAACCGGTTGCTGCGGTTTCATTGGATAGCGAAAGGCTACGCCCAGTGAACTCCAGTTTTCTCTTCGCGTTAAGGACGAAACGGATTGTAGGACCATAATATCAACATTGGGGATCGGGGTGAAGTGTGAGTTTTGTAAAATAATAGGTTATGTGTACAACATACGCGTGTATACATTCTTCCGTCAATGTTGGTTGAACACTTTTTAAAAACTATGAAAATATATTATATACTCGAGTACACAGATAAAATAAATTTATAATAATTTCTTTATAAAATACAAGAATAACAAATAATCACATCACGAAATAGCTTATACAACCTAATGTTTCATTTGTATAAAATAATACAAAAAAATGTATTTTAATTATATAACTCCTTGATCAACGCATAATCAATGTTAAATAAATCGAATGCAAACATGCTAATGATGGACGGGCAAATGTAAACTCCCCTAAAAAAATTAAATAGCAAATTCCCTAATAGTAAACTCCCCTAAAAACATTTTGATACCGTATTACACTTACATAAACTCCCCTAAAAAAATTAGAATCATTTAGCGTAACCCAGAGGACACCACGTGGAGGCGGTTCTAGTTATCCTCCAAAAATATTTGTATTTTTAACTGCATATATATTTTTTTATTCATATTTTATAATTAGAGAAACTAATTTTCGTCGTTATACTATTAAAATTATTAAAGTTGATATTATTATGTTGATTATTTTTTTATGGAATAATAATGTGAAACGGTTTTTATATAATGAAATGAAGTAATTTTTTGTTCTTTATAATTTTATATTAGCTAGTTTAATAATTGTTGACGTCTTTTTAATTTATTATTATTGCAACTATATGGATTGTGTATGCTTTGTAATTTTATGTAAATTTCTGATAGAATATTATTTAGTGTATCAATAAACATAAAAATATTTAGATGGATACGGTTAAAATTTGATTTAAAATGAGCATGGAATGATTCACAAGCATTTGTGGATTTTTTTGATTCGAAAGATGCTTCTGCCCAGACGGTAGGTGAAAAAATTGCCATATTGTTTCAAATATGGACTAGCATAGTTTTTGTGCTGACCTCTTCAATTATCAATTATCAAGAGGTACAAAATTTAATTCAATACCAGTAATTTTTAGCCAAAATGATATCAATAAAAAGTATAAGGAACCGCGAAATGTTTGTTCATAATGGTTATTTGTATGATATTTTTCTAATTATAAAATATGAAAAAGGAAATATATATGCAATTAAAAATACGAATATTTTTGGAGGATAACTAGAACCGCCTCTACATGGTGTCTTCTGGGTTACTCTAAATGGTTCTAATTTTATTAGGGGAATTTACGTTAGTGTAATACGGTAGCAAAATGTTTTTAAGAAAATTTACATTAGTGTAATACAGTAACAAAATATTTTTAGGGGAATTTACATTAATGTAATACGGCAGCAAAATGTTTTTAGGAGAATTTACATGTGCCCTAATAGACAAGTATTTTCTTAAAAAAAAAAAATAGATTTGCGGATGCCAATTTCAGATTAAGTACCTGGATATATGTATTGATTTGAATTTTATAATTTAAGGAGACATATCAAATTAATTTAAATTATTATTAACACTTACTATTTAAATATTTAATACTACATGTAGGTACTAACATGATTTATTAGAAAATATGTTGTAACCAATTTAGTGCTAGGTAGGTATAGGAATTCTCAACTTAATGGACTGGACCATTTTATACTTTTAAATTTTCTTAATTGTTATTTAATTTGCTATATATATTCTAAATAGCTTACATTATTCAGGTACGGGAGTGTAATATTTTTGGTACGTCTTGCTTCTAAATCAGTACTGGTTCCAATTAATTTTATATGCTAGAACAAAGTAACATAAAATAAATAAAAAAATATCAGTGTATTTAAATTATTACTGAAATTCTAATAAGTTAGATAAATGTAACCTCCCGACTAAATAAAAGTAACATTACAAACTTAAACATATAAAGTTGCTGACATTTCTTAATTTTTTGTTGTTCAAAATCTATGATTTCCCACAAACATAAAAAAAATTTAAATTATCACTGTACCACTAGATTAATAATATTATTAATAAATAATTAAAATAATGCAAAGTACCTATTACGAAAACCTTAATTTCATGTTTACATATTTTTCAGTAGTTGAAGAAATAAATAATATACTTCTATTTTTATCAGTTATTGTAATATTTTAATATTGCACATATTATATTATTCTATTATATGACCCAAGTGACGGAAAACTTTAATGATTAATGATTTCCGGGCTCTCAATTTAAATCATACAACAAATGAAATTAGTATACATTTATAAATTATTTCTTCGATTTTCCTAGAAAATTTGTGTATAACTTAAAATATAATTTTTAATTAAATGCTTATAGACGTTAAAATTATTTTATATATTAAGTCTTATTTTAATGATTTTATAGTTTTATAATTTTGCTGGTCAAAAAAAAATATCAGCATTCCTGCATAAGTTCTACATAAACAATGTACACTATCGTGAAAAAATACCATTGCATAATATTGTTATATTTTTTTAATGATTTTACAGTAGAATATATACCTGCGGCTTCATAAAAATAAAAGTTAATTAAAAAAACAGTGAAACAAACAAGGAAATATATTATGCGCCAGTTACAATAGCACTTATTTTTTGCGGAACGTAGAACCCAAAAACACTGAATAATAGGTAACATGCAGAATAAGAAAATTATAATATTCATCACTGTCACGTTACTCTAATATACCATAACCATAAATCTCATTAAAATAGTACATTTGCATACATACATTACAATCGATATCGGTTTCGGTTATTTGTTCGCAACACGTTTTCATATCCGCGACCACAAGTGCAGGGCGGTTACCGAAATTCTTCAACGAAACGTCTGTGTGTAACATTCAAACGGGACATGTCAAATTCTAAGGAGTAGAAAAGGAATAACGTATGCATGTTGTACGATCACAGTGTTTTCACATACTGCATTTGCGAACAAATGTTATACGGACGTATAGCGCCGCACGCATGACGAAATATTTTTTTGCGACAAGTGATGCGTTTTTTTTTATTTTCGTCAACTCCTTACGATTCGCGGAGTGAAACCAAGTACAACAGTACATCTTGCATACGAATCACACGAATAAAATTATCATTCCGACGTAGTGTTTGTCGTGATCAACGTCAACGTCGGCAGATAATTCGAACAAATGAAACGCTCCGTCGTCATCGCCGTGTCGTATGGGTTGTATGTACGAGTACAATGCGAAACGACGTATCACGTGGTCGGACAACAGGGGTGGGGGGAAACGATAAATTAAAAAAAAACTAATGTCGTACACACACGCGCGCGCGTACGAACATATACACGTACATATCAATGTAATGTATATATACGAGGAGGTACGCGCACACATAAACAAAAAGGAGCGTACGTCGCGTTGTTACTATTATGTGACCGAAACGAGACTGGGCGAGCAGTGCATATAAGATATAAACGGTGTATTGTTCATGTTGACAACATGCGAAAATGAACACGGGCCCGTAATGCAGTTGATCACGCGAACCCTCCGGTGAACAACGCACCTATACGGGAGTACACGCGATAGCGCGCGAGTGTGCGAGGAACTAAAATGATACGAATACGCACACACCGTATAATAAGTTTGTACAGGGTGATTTTGTTTTAATTGTCCGCGGGCAGCGCACGGCCTTCCCGGTTGATTCGCGAACACGGTGTTTTGATCGAATCTGGAGTCGTTAACGTTGTGCGTGTTGCGCGCGCGTGCATTTGTTCAAGTGTTTTGACGTGCAGCCTATTGACGTTTTTATGGATGATCGATCAACCGGATGACGAGTAAAGTGTAGTCAAATAAATAAAGATGGACCGCACTGAATCGTAGTCACTTAAATTTTTTGAAAAAAAAAAAACTATATACCATCTAGTAACTATTACACGCGCTGAAACGAACCGATAATCGGTTACATACCGGTGTGACATGCCGATGTGATCGTTCGTTCGTCGAGTAAAAATATAAAAAACAAATCATCCTGTATGCGCGCCGAACGAGAGTCTATTTCGCCTTCGGCGGGGCGCGGTTACGAGGGCCACCCCGAACTGAAGCCACCGCTACGACCCTGGGACCGGGTCGGCCGGAAACTTCAATCAAAACCGCGTATCGCGTATTATATTGTTGCACGCACACCTCGCACAATTCCTGAGCTGCTGCTGCCACTACTGCTATTGGCGCGGCGGTGCACAGATCAACACGGGTAGCCGACGATACCGGAAACGCGTGGAAGCAAGTGGTCGTCGGTGAAGTTTAAATGTATTATTAACGCGAAGATTGAAGGAATAGCCCGTGTTCTTTATCATCACGATGAGCGTGCGCGCATGTGTGTGCGCGCGCGCGCTTGCGTGTGTATGTGTGTGTGTGTGTGTGTGTGTGTGTGTGTGTGTAAATATACGTCGCATTACATGTGTATGGAAAAAAAATATGCTGTACGAAAGTAATATTGAATACTTGTAAGTTACAATCTGTACCGGCATATATTATTATTTTATTTACATAAATGCAACATAATGATTCAGACAAACACTATATATGTAAGACTAACTGACGATAAATGCGATATCACGTGTACAGATCTATGTATATTTACGATTTACCTACCACGTATGTGTAAGTGTACGTGCGCGGTTCAGCGATGATATCATTATACACTCGATTACTTTTTTATTACTTTTTTAAATTTAATTTTACTTCTCAATATTGTATACGATGTAGAATAATAATGTTGAGTTAACGTTTTTCGACCACAGAATCCTTACGGTATCCATTGTATACGGTAGAAACTCGCTCGCGAACATTAAACTTGGTCGTACGGATAACCGAAGCCATAATATTATCACCACTTTTATGGTCATTACCAAATTAAATCATGAATAAAATATTCAATACGTGTGCCCTTCGTGATCTATATCAGCGTATGTTAAGGTGTCCATAATATATTATTGTTTAAAGGCCATCGTAATTATAATAATTTTTCAATAATTATTCAATACTGGTATATTAATTACACTTACAAAATATTATGGCGAAATCCCCTTCCTTCCAGGGAATTACACCAAAGTCCTGAGGATAATGTAATTTAAGAGAGAAAAATATTATAATATTAAAAAAACAAAAAAAAAACATTCAATATCTATTTACCGTTACATTGACATTGTTTTGAACATAAACAATTAAAAACACTAGCAATAAGAGAACTAATATAAATGACATTGTTATTATGTTTTGTTGTGTACTTGAGTGCATAATATTTTCATATATCTTCACTTAAATCCATACATACGTTACAAAAACTTTAAACATAGATGTATACATAAGTATGATGTAAACAAGCATTGCCATAGAAAACGTAAGATATTTTCCCAGCGCTTATGTGATAAAAATTATATATATAACAACTAATTTGTAATATATAGTAATAATAATAATAGTGCAAATAATAATTATGTAATTATTTAGCTGTATTGGTTGTTTTTCTATTGAAAAATATACCATGAATAACGAGAACGATTTATTTTGATTATTAAAACTACTTATTAATATAGTAAAGTAATATTATATTTTTACATACTAGATGCGTATACAATCTCATAAAGTAATGCCAATTTAATTTAATACATAGTTGTTTAGTCATCTTACCGTTATAATATATTATATTCTTTAGTATTATTATATATTATAATCTCTCTTATCTCAGAATTTAAATTATATTATAATATATTTATAATAATGCAATTGATTGGTTTAATAATTATAATTAATAATTATAAATATTTGTGTGAATAATATTTTTAAGTTTTTACTAGTAACAAACTTATACTAACAATTACTGTTATACTACTAACTTCTATATTAACATATTATTAATAACTATAAATCAAATACACGAAAATACATTATAATGTTTTGACTGAATAATGTTGAGAAAGAAAGAAAGATTTATTAATAAATATACCTATAAATTATAAATACTTAAATAATAGTCAAAAATTATTTTAGTTACCATAGAATATTTAGTAAAAATTTAATTTATAGTTAGTTATAAATGTTTAAGCGCCTATAAAGTTGTTTTCAAAATGAAAATTTAGTTGAAGTATTTATTAAAAATTATGATTATAGGTTCTATGCTTGTAATGAAAAATGTCTATCTTCTGTGTATTTATCTTCTTTCATTATAACAAAATTGTAATAATCTGGCGAAAATAAAAACAAAATAAAATTAAAAAAAAAAAATTATTTTTATTTTTCAACAAATCTGTGATAAATAGAAAATAAAATGAAAACAATTTCTCGTTATTATTTATACTGACGTCAGACTGTTCGTGTTTCTTGAGAAATTTTATGATGACCATTAAAAAGTGATAAGTATCAATTTGATTAACTTATGACTAATACGTTTATGTAACTATATATTGGTGACAATAAATTTATAATCTCTAAAATAAATATGTGTGTGTGGTCGTGTCATGTCTATGTGTTCAGTTATAGATTCGGGAATTAGGCTTATTTCATTTTAATGAAATAAAAAGTACGAATTTTAAAATGTATTAGTATTTAAAATTGTATAACAGTATAGTTATTTTATTATATAATACATTTTCGTATATGACATTTCGCATTTATAATAATTCTAATACTTGAACATTCGATTTGAACACTTTATCCAAATACATGGCCTTCAGTGAAATAATTTTCGTACAGCAACTCGCTCTCATATTTATCTCGTACCAGATATCTTTATATACGAGTAAACTTGGATAACTTGTTTATTTTTAAGAGTCAATACTTTTACGTATAAACATATAATTTAAATTTATATTTAAAAAATAAATGTATTATAAAGGTTACATTTCTCAAAATGTTAAATATTGGAGAACATAAAATAGTATATTTATATAAAATGAAGAATTCAATACTCACATCGGTTATGATTGTAATAAGACGAGGGGTTATGGCCTACGACCAACGTCTATCTTACAAACTAGTTTTATATCGATACGAAGATAATAATAATGTGTACGTAGTTTTTTAAGCGAAGGAAGTGTTATAGCGTGACCAAAATGCGATTGAAAAATAAGTAGGGAAAAATATTATATAGGAATAAATGAGATAAAATTATAGAAAAACACAACACAAAAATCGAAGGCCAACCGATAGTGGACGATTATAATAACAATCCCAAGCCTATAATTACGTATCGGAGCCCTGAGGATTTTGCCCCTTCACTCATGTATCTCAGTCTCAATTATGGCGTTTGAGTATATATATACGATGTATTATGGAATTAAAAAAAAAAAAAATATTTGACGGATGTCGAATGCCACCAGGGGCTGATTTCTTAAATTTAATCGAAAAAATCTTTTTATTATTTTGTAGTTATCAAATTGCAAATTTTATTTTAACTTCATATTATATTCAGAACACACTACATACTTTAAGTAGAAGTTATGACTTATTTTCAATTAAATAGTTTTTTACAGTTATAGAAGTGTTTGGAAATTGCAGTGTTTGAAAAGAATGTGTCCAATCAAGGGATATTTGAATGCGTTAAATTTTAACTTGAACGTGAATAAATTTTTTTCGTTAATTTAATAAAAAAAATTCATAGTAATAATTATTATTTTCAATGATACCAAATAATATTGGATATAATTTTTTTTTCTTATCAGTTATGATTCCGGACCGTGGTTCTAGAAGATAACGTCCATAATAATAGTACGATATATAGAGATTTTTTGGCCTCATTGAACGTGTAATAAACGCATTTTTTTTATCAATTCGTTCATTTTATTGAACAATAAACGTGAACGTGATTGCGTTCACTATTTTAGTGAACTTTCTAAAAATTGGGATATTATACGTATACGGAATCGTGGAAACAAAATGTTTTTTTTTTAAATATGTATTATATTTTTTTAAATTACTCTAAATATGATTTGATCGAAAAAAAATAAAAAAATAAAATGGATGATTTTAAAAATGAATAACTCATAGATATAATACAGTCATATCATTATTTAAATTAAATGAAGGTTTTCGATTTTGGTCTAAGAATATATCGATTTTATAACTATATTTTTTTATCCATTATCAAATAGTCGAGTTACTTAGTCCAACTACTGCACTAAAATAGGATATTATTGGATGGAAAATTAGATCCCATAGATATTTAAACAAGTATTTTGAAATTTTTTTAGGAATTCATTTAATGTTTCTACAAGGACTTAAAAAATATGATACTTTTTTATTTTTTTACATTATAATATGTAATTTAAATAAATGAAAATATTTTTATAATATTTATAATGATTATGAAATAATACCGAGTAGTAATTATCGGTATGTTATTGTTTTTATTATTACTTATAATATTGATTTTA